AACATAGAAATTCCATATGACCCGGCTATTCCACTACTTGGAATATACCCTGAGAATATGAGAACTGAGGCACAAATGGAGATTTGTACATCAATGTTCATAGTAGCATCATTATTCACCATCACAAAGAACATGGAAACAGCCCAGATGTCCAACCACAAATGAATGGATTGAGAAATTATGGTACAATCACACAATGGAATACTATGCAGCACACAGGAGCAATGATTTTGTAAATTACTCTCTAACTTGAGAGGGACTGGAAAGCATTATGCTAAGTGAACTACCTCAGTTCCACAAGGATAAATATTGTAGAAAACCATAATTGTAGAATGAGTGTAAGGATCCAAGAGGGGTGGGAGACGGTGGAAGCAGAGGGATGAGGATGAGCAGGGGGAGGGGGAGATTAATCATGGAATTGTATATGATAGGTGGAGGGTGAGGGAAATTGAAAGAATTTGTTCTTGAAAACAATGTATTAAAATTTTGTAAATACACTAGTAGATTTTTTTTTTAAAAAGTCTAAAGTGTGCCTAACACATGCCATGGTATTTTCAATTGTCTCATATTCCTGTGAAATAGGAAACTTTAGTGGCTGAGTGTTAAGGAAGGCACACGAGTCAAATCCACTAGCTGCTCCACAGGAGAAAAATTAGAGATATCCTCCTGTGTGATTATACTGGCTCTGAAATTCTGCTGCAGGGTCAGCTATGAGTCAATTCAGACTCAATGAAACATAACAAAAACAATATAGGCCTGCAATAGTTGGACAATGAGGAAGAAAGACATTAGAAGAATTGGTGCTTTTGATTTTTGGTGTTGATGAAAAATATTGACTATATGATGAATTGCTGAACGAACAAAGACATTTGCCTCGGAAGAAGTATAGCCTATTCTTGAGAAGCAAAAAAAGGACACAAATGGTGAGGTCAGATACTTTGGACATGTTATCCAGAAGAGAACTCCCTGGAGACATAATGCTTTGAAAGGTAAAAAGTCAATGAAAGAGAGGAAGACCCTTGATAGTAAGGACTGACGCAATGACCATACTAGTGGGCTTACACACACTAGAGATTGTGTAAATAGTGTAGAAACATGCAGGATTTTGGTTTTGTGTGTGTGTGTGTGTGTGTTGTGATTTTAATGAAAGTTTACAGAAAGTTTTCATTCATTGTTGTACATTTTTTAAAAAAAAAGTATCAGTTCATGGTTGCATAATTTCCTCCCTTCTGCCCAACCCCCCCAGTCCACTTACTTATGAACCTCTTATTCTGAACTGTGGTCATACAAATAATACCTAATCATATATTCCTTATTTTTGTTTTTTAATTTTTTTATTTTAGTTGTCAACAAAAGTTTACAGAAAAGTTAGATTTTCATTCGTTGTTGCATATTTTACCACCTCTCCCTCCTTTCTCCCTCCCTTCCCCCTCCCAAAGCTGAATTTTTTTTCTCACTATCTCTGTAGATGTTCATTGAAATGAAAAATAACCAAATAAAAAATTCTAATAAAAATTCAAACAAATTCTCTCCATTTCCCTCACACCCCACCCATCAAATTGTTCAATCCAATGATTAATCCCCTTTCAATGATTAATCCCCTCTTTCCGCTCTACATCCGTATTTCTCTGCTTCCAGCCTTTCCCACCCATTCTGGATCTTTATACTCCTTCTGCAATAACGGTCTTATTTTATCCTTGTGGGACTGAGTTCACTCAGAATAATGCTCTCCAGTCCCTCCCAAATTAGATAATAATTTACAAAGCTCCTTATATGCTCCGGCATGCTGCATAGTATTCCATTGTGTGATTGTACCATAATTTCTCAATCCATTCACTTGTGGTTGGACATCTGGGCTGTTTCCTTGTTCTTGTGATGGTGAATAATGCTACTATGAAATCTCAGATTGTTCCTCAGTTCTCATATTCTCAGGGTATATTCCAAGTAGTGGAATAGCCGGGTCATATGGAATTTCTATGTTCAGCTTTTTGAGGAAGCTCCAAACTGCCTTTCAGAGTGGTTGCACCATTTTACAATCCCACCAACAATGTATAAGAAGAGTTGCTTTCTCACCACATCCTCTCCAACATCTATTACTTGCTGCCCTGTTAAACTTTGCTACTTTTACTGGAGTGAGATGCTACCTCATTGTGGTTTTGATTTGGTTTCTCTTATTGACAGTGATTTGGAGCATTTCTTCATGTGTCTTTTTGTCATTTGAATATCTTCCTCTGAAAATTTTTTCCATGTCTTTTGTCCATTCTGTAATTTGGCTGTCAGTCTTTTTCCTTGTGGAGGTCCAGGAGTATTCTATAAACTTTTGTTATAAGACTCTTGTCTGATATGACGTTATCAAATATTTGTTCCCAGTCTGTAGGTTCTCTTTTCACCCTGATGGAAAAAGTTTTTGATGTGCACAGAGATTTAATCTTTAGAAGGTCATTTATAACCTCTTTAGATTGTGCATTTCTGGTTGTATTTGGCAGTGTCTTTATACCTTGGACTAGCACTTCTAAGCTTGATCTCAGTTTGTCTCATGAATGTTACGGTTTTGGGCTTTACTCCCAGGTCTCTGAACCACCTTGAGTTGATTTTTGTGTATGGTGTGAGATGTGGATCCTGTTTTAGCTTTCTGCAGGTGAAAGTCCAGTTTTGCCAGCACCATTTGTTGAAGAGGTTTTCATTTCTCATTTGATATCTTTGATTTCCTTGTTGAATATCAGTTGACCATAGATAGCTTGGTCTATTTCTGGGTTCTCAATTCTGTTGCATTGGTTTATGTGCCTGTCATTGTACCAGTACCATGCTGTTTTATTTACCACTGCTGTGTAGTAGGGTTTGAGGTCAGGGAGTGCTATGCCTCCAACCTCGCTTTTATTTTTCAGAAGTGTTTTGCTTATTCGTGGTCTCCTGTCTCTCCAAATAAATTTGATAATTTCCCTTTCAATCTCCTTGAAAAATAGATTTGGTATCTGGATTGGGATTGCATTGAACAGGTAAATTGCCTTTGATAGGGTTGTCATTTTCACCATATTGAGTCTGCCTATCCATGAAAAGGGCACATTTTTCCATTTCTTTAGATCTCTTATTGTGTCTTTCAGAAATGCTCTGTAGTTTTCTTTGTATAGTCTCTTGTATTTCTAGTTATGTTCACTTCCAAATATCTCAATTTATGGTTGGCTATTATAAATGGTATTGCTTCCTTTATTTTCATCTCTGAGTTCTCTTTGTTACTGTAGAGGAATCCTATTGATTTTTGGCTATTGATCTTATATCTTGCCACTCTACTAAATTAGCCTATTAACTCTAACAGTTTTTTTTTATATTGAGTCATTGAGGTTTTCTGTGTGCACTATCATATCATCTGTATACAGCGACAGTTTAACCATTTCTTTGCCCATCTGGATGCCTTTTATTTTCTTCTCTTGTCTTATTGCCCTGTCAAGCACTTCCAATACAATATTGAAAAGAAATGGGGACAGTAGACATCTTTGTCTGGTCCCTGTTTGCAAGGAAAATGTCTTTCTTCATTGAGAATTGTGTTGGTTGGCTCTTGGTTTTGCATATATACTTTTCACTATGTTGCGGAAATTCCCTTCTATTCCAATTTTACTGTCTGTATCAGGAAGGGTTGTTGGATTTTGTCAAATGCCTTTTCTGCATCAATTGCTTAGAGCATTATTTACTTTGTTAATACAGTGAATTATGTTGATTGTTTTTCTTATGTTGAACCATCCCTGCATACCTGTTATGAATCCCAGTTGGTCATGGTGAATTATTTTTTGGATATGTTTTTGGATTTTGTTAAGGATTTTTGCATCTATATTCATGAGAGATAATTGGTATGCAGGTTTTTTTCTTGGTAATATCTTTGCCTGGTTTTGGTATTAGAGTTATGCTTACTTCATAGAATGACTCTGGAAGTGTTCCTTCTTTTTCAATTTTTTGAAATAATTTAAGTAGAATAGGTCCTTAATGCTCTCTGCATGTTTGGTTTTAAAGAGTTCTTTTCTTTATTTGTCCCAATGCAATGTTCACTGTTTATACCATCTTTTCTTAGTTTTTTCCCCAACCCCCATGTCAGTCATGTTTTATAACAGTGGTGTTGTACAGTATTTGTCCTTTTGTGACTGAGATATTTCACTCAGCATAATGTCCTCTAGGGCCACTCATGTTGTGTAATATTTTATGAGTACCATCTTTTTCCATTGCGTGAATAGACCACAGCTTCTCCACCCATTCATTTGTTGATGGGCACTTGGGTTGGTTCTATCTCTTTGCTATTGTGGGTAACACAGCAATAATCATGGGTGTGCATAAATCTGTTTGAGTGGCAGCTCTGATATTTTTTAGGGCATATTCCCAGTACTGGAATTGCTTGGATTTTGTTTTGAATTTATATACAGGGTTGATTTGGAGCCAACTTGATAACACCTAATAGCAGCATCAACAAAAACATCCCTACAATAGACTGCAACCTCTTTGAAAAGCAGAAACACATGATCCTTTTGCTTTTGTGTCTCTTTCTTCCAAACTTAGTGACTGGATAAACATTCAAAGATTTCTTGAATTAAATAAATCTAGATACTAATGAAGGTACCCTTTTCTCATATTCTGTAATGAATTTTTAAAGCAGAAGGGTGAAACACTTGCCTTCCATGGGTAAGTTTGGAAGAGTAGGATAGAAGGAGGTGTAGCTAATAAATGATTCTGGGTTGATTAAATATTTAGCCTCATGCATATAGGTGCTCAAAATCTTTAAAATTCATAGGAGAGACCTAGGAAGGGGGAAAGGAAGAATGAATAATGTAGGGAGATGAACAAACTTCTTGAAAATGAGTACACTGAGATCTCTCATATTAAACATTAGGTGTTGTAACCCTTAGTTGACAGGAGAGACTTTTTTTTTAATATAAAATTTTTATTTTATACTGGTTTAAACATTATTTTTAGGAGATACTTCTTAATGCTAGTGATAATGTTTTGGTTTTATTTTTCAGATATAGAACCTCCTAGAATTAAGTGTCCAAGTGTGAAGGAACGCATTGCTGAACCCAATAAGCTAACGGTTCGGGTGTCTTGGGATACCCCTGAGGGAAGAGACACAGCAGATGGTATTCTGACTGAGTAAGTGAAATGTAACATCTGGAATGAAGATGCCCCTGAGTAAGGGATATAGCTAATTCAAATGTGCTTTTTAAAACTCTGGCCAGCCTTGTTAATGGCAAAATGGCAAACTCAGATAAGCAATAGACCTATAAGGAAATAATATCACTTGAAAGGCACACTCTCCTTTAAATAACTAACCATGTAGGGTCAAAAGGGAAGCACTTGCCCAAAGGTAAAAGCCCAGAAGACAGGAAGGGGTTGAATAGAATGATTAGTGGAAGTTATAATCACAGGGAAGAGGTGGCAAGAGTAAATTAACTTGGGAGTATTGTGATGCATGGTCTAAACCAAAATGTGTGTGAAAGATTGGATTAAAAAAAAACAATTTCAGTCTTAGTCTTACCCCCACCCCAATGCCAGCCTCATTCTACAACAGTGGCACCATATAGCATTTGTCCCTTTGTGACTGAGATTCCTCACTCAGCATAATGTCCTCCAGGGTCACCCATTTTGAATAATATTGCATGAGTTCCTTGTTTTTCAATGCAGCATAGTATTCCATTGTGCGAATATACCACAGCTTCTCTACCCATTCGTTTGTTGATGGGCATTTAGGTTGTTTCCAACTCCTTGCTATTGTAAACAAAGCCGCGATAAACATGGGTATACATATATCTACTTCGATGTCATTTAGGGTATATTCTCAGTAGTGGAATTGCTGGGTCAAATGGTATCTTTATTTGCAACTTTTTGAGAAAGCGCCACAATGCTTTCCACAGTGGTTGTACCATTTTACACTCCCACCAACAGTGAATAAGGGTTCCAGTCTCTCCACAACTTCGCCAGCATTTGTTGCTTGCTATGTTTACGGCATTGAAATCTATGGGGGAGAGAATAGTCTAAAAGCATTATATTTTAGGACATTATTTTTATCGTAGGAGTATGCAATGAGGGTTGCAGAGTGGATTATATTTGGGGGTAGGGGGTGGGGGAATTGTGTACCAATGAGGGAGTTTTTCTTTTGCTTTTCAAGGAGAGGAGCAAACGGGGTGGGGGAGGGGTTTGTGCGGGGAGAAGGGTGCAACAATCAATGAATGGAATTCCAAAATCTCTGTAGATGTTCATTGAAATGAAAAATAAACAACCTAAAAAAAATTTACTTTTGTAAATTCTCGTGCAAATCAGTTTTTTAAGATGGGGACTTTACCATCCATCCATCTGCATGCCTAACTCCCTCTGCCTTTACTTCTTTTAAAGTCATCTTTATGCTCTAAGTAGCATGGGTACATCAGCTCAAAATCCTCCCAGAGAATTTCCTATCTTATTAGAGCAAAAGTGTTACTTTTAGCTACCTCCACTCATCTTCTGTTCCAATCATTCTGGTCTAATCCCATTTACTTTCTCTCTTGTCTTTAAGCACATCTGGGATAAACCAACTTAGAATCTTTGTTCTTCTTGTCCCTTTTGCCTAAATACCCTTCTGTTAATTATCTGAATGGCTCCCTTTTCTCCGTCAGCAAAGAAGGACTTCCTATCTAAAATTGCAATCCACACTTTAGAAGGAAATCCTGTTGCTCATCCTCTAAAGTTCTTTTCAGCATCTAATATACTAAACTTACTAGCAGTTCCGATGGAGAAGGATGGGCAATAACTTCTGAAAACCCACTGGAGGGTCAGCTCTGAGTCAGTTTTGACTCAATGACAATGAACAACAAGATGTTACATATTTTTCTTATCTGATTATTGCCTCTCTCTACTACAGTGTATTCACTGCTATATTTTCAGTGTCTATGAACATGTATGTAACATAGATGACACTTAGAAGATGTTCATTGAAGAAAAGAAAAGACAAGAAAGAAAAGATGACACTAAAAATATTTATTGAAGCAAGTAGGGACAAGTAGGGCAGAAGGAGAAAAGCAAGTCAACTGATTAATCCAAGGTTAATCCCCAATGCATGCCCAGCGGGCTCCTACTCATGCCACCATACCCTATGAGTTCACCTCTTCTGGGGAGCCTGCTATGCCTTCCACATGGGGCCAGTGCTGCCTCCCTTATAGTTGTTGCATACAGTTTTCCCACTCTTTTGTTTCTCATTACATCTGCTGTTTTTAACGCTTTTTATTTTATCCTCAAAACTTATTACCACATCAAATACTTCTAGAAATTTGTGAAAAAGAAGATATCTTCTGCCTCCCTCTACACTCCAATGCCACTGTCCAGGACTAACTATTTTAATAGTTTCATGAGCACCTGAAATGCTTTGTGGAAAAGGGTAGTTTTCTGTGGTGAAGTTCAGCTATATTTTGTTCTAATCTAGTATCTGGAATCCATTTATTTAAAAGCTTAGCCAAGTATATTAATCTTGGCATTTTTGTGTGTAACCTATGTGTCATGATTAGAAGTGTGACATTTAAAAAGATCATCCTAGCCCCCATACCTCTTGTTTAGAGAAGTTGTCTGCTTCTGGAGGCGTGGAGCAGGATGCTGCAGGGGTTGGGCTCCAGCCCAGGAAAGAATTCATACAAGACTATCTTGTCCCTTTGCCCACTTGTAATCTCACTTAGGTGCCTTGCTTTTCTAATACTTCTCCTGTCACCTCCTTCTGTCTCACTCAAGCTACTTGTATATGCTATTGTTATGTGTCATCAAATCAGAGCTGGCTCTTAGTTGACTCTCCAGCAATCACATAGAAGATTGCCCATCTTTTTCCCAAGGAACAGCTGGTGGATCCAAACTGTTTGCCTTTTGGGTTGGCAGTGCAATTCCGCACCACTAAGCCACCAGAGCTCCCTCTGATGGAAGAGCTTCTCTCTTCTTAGAGAGAAGGTTCTAGGGCATCTCTCAGTGACAAGTGTTTCCTATGAATTTGTTTATTTTGTATGTCTGTTATCTGAATGTCATGGATGAAGGGAAATCTGAGGGACTAACAGTCACTAATACTTGAGGAAGTATTCCTCTGAGGTTTATCTATGTTTCACTTGTGCCTCCTGAGGACCTTAAAACTTGTGACATTCCGTTTTGAGTATAGCATTTTGAGTCTGTACCTACCATAGCTAACTCTCCAGAGGGTTTTCTGAGGCTATGAATCACTTGGTGGAGTTTGCCCATCTTTCTCCCTTGGAACCCCTGGTGGATTTGAACCCCCAGAGAGGTTCAGCCTTTGGGTTAGCAATGCAACTTCATACAGACTACCACTAGGCCCAAAGTAACTTGTCTCTTATGGGGGGATTTCTCACACTTTTGCAAGACCTCTCACTTAATACCTTATAAAATGATGTCTTGTCTTTGGCCTGCAAGGGTTTCCTCAGTGGTGAAAAGGATAATTTCACATATCCATTTTTTGTAACTATTCTCATCTTTCTTAAGAACTATGAAAAGAAGGGAATTTACCTGATTTTTGAAAAGCAAACCAACAAAACCTGATCATTTGATCTTGCTGTACCTAATGATGTGCCTTTCAGAGAGACAGGAAGAAAGATGCTAGAATCACACTACCCATGTGATCAAGGCCAAGCTCCTCAATCTATCAATGCCTCTGTTTCTTCACTTGTAAAATGGAGATATAATAAGGCCTACCTCAGAGTGTTTAAGACTAGATGAGGTATTATATGTTAAAAGCAAGAGCTGTGCCTGGCATATAATTTTTTTTATGTAAGTGAAAACTACTGCTATTTGGATAGCCAAGAAATCTCAGAAAACTTCCCTTTTGCTTAGGAACAGCCTTCAGCTCATCTTTCTTCCTCAGACTTGCTGGTGGATGCAATCCACTGGAAACACACAGCCTTTTGTTAACCAGGATAGCTGATATTGGTTTTTTAGACTGTCAAGTTGGAACCAACTCATAGCTGACCCTCCAGCAGGCTTTTCAGAGACAGCAAATCACACAGGAGTTGATTGCCCTTCTTTTTCCTGTGGAGCAGCTAGAATATTTGAACCTCATACTACACTTTTGAGTTGGCATCACAATTCCTTACCACTAAGCCACCAGGATTTCGAAGCTCCATCTCACATACTTTGGGCCCATGGCCAGGAGAGACTGGTCCTTGGAGAAGGACATCATGCTTGGAAGGGTGGAGGGACAGCATGGGAGAAGATGAAATGGACTGATACAGTAACTGGGGCAACGAGGGTTGGTGTGTCAGAATTAGTGAGACTGGCTCAGGACAGGGCAGGGTTTAGAGCTGCTGTACATAGAGTTGCTATGGTGACTTGATGGCACATAACAACAACAACAACAACAATAAGCCACCAGAGCTCCCTGACTATGCCATTAGAACACCCCTAATAATGGTTTGGGATATCTCAAGTGATATTCATCATAGAAAATTAGTTTGTCTTACCAAGAGTGAACAAATTAAAGTACCTCCTGCAACAAGGGTAGGATTAAAGGAGTTAGGGGCTGAGTTTCCTGCCCTTGCCCCCTCTATTCTACCTCTAATATGACCTAGGGGCTGATGGGTAGTCAACAATGAAGTGAAGTGTCCTTATTGCTTGGAGGCTCAGTTGCAAAGCTGGCATCTTCTGCTGATGGCGATACATTTATTTGCTCATTGTGTTCATCCAGAAATTATTTTACTTATATACATGATAAATTAATTCATTCCAAATTCTTTACTTATGTCCTTGCATTAAGGGGGGGGGTATAAACTTGTCTGCAGTTGGGGCCTTCTACTTTCTAGTCTTTAATTATCCATAGTAAAGCTCAAGAACTTGGATTCTTCAAGAATATTTCTTCTTGTATGCCCATATCATGTACAGAGTGTATGTTTACTAAATGCCCTTTAAAATAAAAATTATCATCTTTATTATTGGTTTTTTGTTGTTGTTGTTGTTTTTTCTCCCTTTCAGTGTCATTCTAAAAGGCCTCCCCCCAGGCTCAAATTTTCCAGAAGGCGACCACAAGATCCAGTACACAGTTTATGACAGAGCTGAGAACAAGGGTATTTGCAAATTTCGGGTTAAAGTAAGAGGTAAGAACTGCTTATTGACTTTTAGAAGAGTAAAGGAAGCAAGCTGTTGAGCAAGAGCCTTCTGTGGGTAGGGACACTTGCCAACCTCTGAGGAGACTGGGTAAGGGTCCCATCTTAATGCCTGAATTTCATTATTTACGTCTGCATGAGGTTCTGTGCTGACAGCCTAGATCCACACCACATGGCTTATTGAAGGAATACCAGAGAGCAGACACCTGGTCCCACAGGAGCCCCCAGCTGGCAGTCCTATTCAAATATTATTTAATAACATTTCCAACACTGGCTTTGCCTGTTCTGTTGCAGGTTCTTCTCTTATCAGGGTGGTTAGGAGCCCCTTTAGCTTGGGCTACCAATTAACCACGTTTTTGCTGTCCAAGAACCTTTAACCTCTAGAAAAGGAAAATGTTTGTAAGAGCATCTTTTATACCTCCTGGGTTGGGCAGCTAATTACAAGCTATCTTTATTTTGGAAGAGTGCGCAGTCTTCTCATCTGTAACACAGGGAACCAAACTGAATTCATAACAACATACTCCTCTCCAAACCCCCTCACAAGCCAAACAGCCCTTCTGGCTCACTCATTTAACAGGCCCCCACCTTTCCTGGTTACTCTAAGTGCTCTGGCCTGAGCCCAACTCTATGCCTGTGTCCCTACAGTCAAACGCTGCGGCAAACTCAATGCTCCGGAAAATGGTTATGTGAAGTGCTCCAGTGATGGTGACAATTATGGAGCTACCTGTGAGTTCTCCTGCATTGGTGGCTATGAGCTACAAGGCAGCCCTGCCCGAGTGTGTCAATCTAACCTGGCTTGGTCTGGCACAGAGCCCACCTGCACAGGTATGTGTGAAACCATGTCTCCTGCTAGCAGCAGAAGTTAGTGACCCCTGGGTTCTGGATCTCTGTGGATTACCAAGTCAGGGAGCAAGAGTTTCATTTTACATACTTTGAAAGATGTTGGATCATCTTTCTTTAATTGAATGGATGAAAGCAGTCCCTGAATTTCTGTGGCAACTCATCAGTCTATCTCTCCTACATTACCTCTGATTTATCTTTCTTTCTTTTTTAATTATTTATTTATTTATTCTTTTTTTTTATGTGTGTACCGTCAAATTGGATCTGACTGGTACAGGAGGCGATTGTTCCTCCTTCTTCAGCAGAGCATCTGGTGGATTTGAACCACACACCTCTGGGATTGCAGTGCAGTTTCCTACCACTAGGCCACCAGAGCTCGCCTGATTTCTCTTTCATATCCTTTAAGAAGAAGGTGGATGTAGGAACCCATGGCCAGTCTTCTATGACCTTGTGACTCAGCAGAGTCTCATTGTTTATGAAGCCAGTGTGCTGCCATGGATAGACAATAATGCCTTTTTTAGAGTTCTGGCTTAGAAATCCCATGACTTTGTGCACTTGGAATATCTTATTCTATAGAAAATGAAGAAAATAATGTTTTAGCTACCACACATGAGTGATTATAAGGATGAAATGGTGTCATCTATTGAACAGTGGATTGAAGCAGTACCTGCCCAAGCCCAGTTCTCAATACATACCAACTGTTTTTACTAATTCACTTATTTCATTCAAGTTGGAGCACACTCATAGCTGGCCCTCCATTGAGTTTCTCAGGCTGTAAATTATCTAGAAAGAGATTGCTCATCTTTTTTCTAGAGAGTGACTGACAGATTTGAACCACCAGAGAGATATGACCTTTGGGTTAGTAGCACTAGGATGAGGCTAGGCTGGGTAATTATAACAATGTGAAATTTAGATTAGCCAGAAATTTCTAGATGTATCTCTTATTTACATGCAACTTTTCCCATTTTCTATTACTTTGTCACCATGACTCTTTTCCTATAACCTCAGAGTTTGGTTAAAAAGTCACATACCTTCTTCTAAACACTTGAGATTCCTCAATTTCACACATTAAAAGAAAAATAACATACCTGAATCAGACTTCTCCTCTATGCACTTGATGCTTATCATTCTGGCATTAAGATCAAGGGAAACATCACAATCCTAGGCCTACATGGACTAATATGTGGTCACCATACGGCTGTTGAGAATTTGAAAGGTGGCTAGTCCTAATGAAAATGTGCAGGAAGTGTAAATTAAACACTGATTTCAAAGACATACTACAAAGAAAGACCATAAAAAACTAAAATGCTAACAATTTTATTAGATGTTAGAATGATAATATTTTAGATAGATTGGATTACTGCAAATTAACATCATCTATTTTTCTGTCACACATACTTTGGGCATGTTATTTGGAGGGGCCAGTCCTTGGAGAAGAACATCATGATTGGAAAAGTGGAGAATCAAAGTAAGAGAGAAAGACACAAAACAAGATGGATTGACCTGATGACTGTATCAATGAGATCAAATATGTCATAGGTAATGATGATGGCATAGGATAGGGCAGGTTTCAGATCCATTGTTCATAAATTGTGAGTCACAGTCAACTTGATAGCAAGGCATATAACAATAGCAACAGGAACATGTCTTTGTTCCAGGAGACAAGGCAGTAAGCAGAGGGTGGTAAGCCACACCTGACTTCTACCCCCAGGTACCTCCTTCAGCAGTGGGGAGCGAGCCTGGAACATCTCTTTATCCCTGGCAGCAGTGAGCAATGAGTGGAAAATCACACCCGCCTCTGGTGAGTGGTGATCAGGAGTTGGGAAGTCATGCCCACACCTATCTCTGGCCCCAAGCTTGTCTCCTACAACTTCATCAACAATTTGGAGAGGACCTGGAACCTGCCCTATGACCACTGACCAGCAGTGATCAAAGCCTGGGAAGCCTCAACCCCACCAACCTTCATTTCAGGTCATTGTGGCCCTCAATTTCAGCAGTGAGTAGAGTATTTGGAGGCCATATCACCAAGGACCCATGCAGCAGGATACTTCTGCACCTCGCCTCCCGAAATGTAATACCACAATGACAAGGAGTACACAGACAGCTTCAAATTCCACAAAATAACCAAAGCAAGATTTCACGCCAAAAAAGTGACCAAGACAGTCACTGAAGCTCTTGGAAGAGGAAAGAGCGATAGAACTTCCTGCCATGGAATTAAAAAGAACAATATTCAAGTATTTGAATTATTGTTGTTATGTTGTTGATTGCCTTCAAGTTGAGCACGACTCATAGCCACCCTATGAACAAAAGGCTTGAAGTCCCTCTACAATTATCAACATTTATCAAAGTTCATAGAGTTTCCGGAGGCAAGTTGTTTAGGAAGTGGATGCCACTCTTGCTTCCAAACTTACCATAAAATGTTATTGACTGAGTCACCTGTCATGCATAGTGACCATATGTACAGCAGCTCTGAACCCTTCCCTGTCCTGAGCCAGTCTCACTAATTCTGACACACCAATCCTTATCACCCCAGTTACTGTATCAATCCATCTCATCCAGGGTCTCGCTCTCCTGTGCTGTCCCTCCACCCTTCTGAGCATGATGTCCTTCTCCAAAGACTGATCTCTCCTGGCCTCATGCCAAAAGTAAGTGAGGTAGAGCTTCAAAATCCTAACCTCCAAGGATAGATTTGGTTTCATCCTCTCCGAGACAAATCTACTTGTTCTCTTGTCAGTCCATGGTATGTTCAAGATTCTTTGCTACAACACAACTTGAAGGGATCTATTCTTCTGTCATCCTTAGTCATTGTCCAACTTTCTGAAGCATAACAAGTAATTGAGAAAACCATGGCCTGGATTAGGCACACCTTTGTATCTAGACTGACCTTGTTGCTCTTCAGCACTCTGGAGAGTTCCATGTCAGCATATTTTCCCAATGCACTTCATCTTTTGATTTCCTGACTGCTGGTATTAAGAGTGCAGATTGTGGATCTGAGTAAGCTGTAATTGCTAACAACCTCAATCTCTTCTGCATCTAGTATGGTTCTGACAATTGGCCCAGTGGTGAGAATCTTTGTCTTCTTGATGCATTCCTGACGCACTCCTTTCTTGATTTTGAACCATACATTGTTTCCTTGCTCTGTTCTGAAGACTGCTTCTTGGTGCATGTATAAGCATGATGAAGAGTTCTGAGATTCCGATTTTCCTCAAGGTTAGCCACAATTTATTGTGATCCACAAAGTCAAATACCTTTGCATAGTCAATGAAACACAAATAGGCATTCTTCTGGTACTCTCTGCTTTCTGCCAAGATTTGACTTGGATGAAAGAAGAAAAAAATGGGAGAGACAGACAAAACTCCAGAGGAACGAAAAAAGCAATATAAGACAAAGCAGCCAATCATCATAAAAAAGAAGAAGAAACAACAATCCAGAATAATTTGGTTCTTCAAAAGGGTCAACAAAATCAACAAAACACTGGCCAGCTTAACAAAAGGAGAAGAAAAGAAAAGAATACAAATAATCTGAACAAGTGATGAAAGGAGCAACATAACAACAGAGCAAACTGGAATAAAAAGGATAATAGAATTTTGTGGAAAATTCTACTCAAACAAGTATGCAAACCTGGAGGAAATAAAAAATTTTTAGAAATGCAAAACTTGCTGATATTGACACAGACTAAAGTCAATATCACCTGGACAGACTCATCACAGAAGAAGACATTCAGCAGGTCATTAAAAAAACGCAAAAAACTCCCAGCAACAACAACAAAAAAATCCCCATCCTGAACCAGATAACTTTCACCAAGTCTATGTAAAGTATTTCAGAAAATTGTAAAAATTGGAATCCTCCCAAATTCATTCTATAAAGCAAACATAACCCTAATACCAAAGTCAGGTAAAGACACCACCAAAATAGGAAACTGTAGGCCAATAAATATCTCTGATGAATATAGATGCAAAAATCCTTAGCAAAATCCTAGCCAATAGAATCCAACAACAAATCAAAGGACCAACTAGAATTCATAACAGGTATACAAGGATAGTTCAACAAAACAAAGACAATAGATGTAATCCATCATATCAACAAAATATAATAACCGTATGATGATCTCAATTGATACAGAAAAGGTTTTTGATGAAATCCAACATTGTTTTCTGATAAGCACACTCAACAAAATAGGAACAGAGGAAAATTTCCTCAATATAATTAAGGCCATATACTCTAAGCCAACAACATCCTTAATGGAGAAACACTATCCTTAATGGAGAAAAAGGTAAAAATATTCTCCCCTGAAATAGGAAGCAGGATACCCACTATTATCACTTCTATTCACTATTGCATTAGAAGTTCCAGTGAGATCAATAAGACAAGAGAAGGTAATCAAGACACCATGGTAATGCTACAGTGACAAACATATAGATCAATGGGATAGAATTAAGAACCTAAAAATCAAACCATCTGCCTATGATTGACTGATCTTGACAAGGATACTAAATCAATTATTAGGACAAGACAGCCCCTTTAACTGCTGGCAAAACTTGACAACAATCTTCAGAAAACTGAAGCAAGACCCACATTTTACACCATAAACAAAAACTGACTTGTGGATTAGGGACTCAGGAATAAAATCAAAGACTGTAAGTTCATCAGGGAAAAACTAGGAACAACTCTAGAAGCACTGATCTACAGGATGAATAGATTTCTAGGAATAATGAAAACTTACAAGCATGAAAAGATAAAATAGATGAATGGGACCTTTAGATTTTAATTTTTAAAAAATTTTATTATTTTTTGATGTGTACCATCAAATTAGATCTGACTGGTACACGAGGAGATTGTCCCTCCTTCTCCAGCAGAGCGTCTGGTGAATTCAAACCATGCACCTCTGGGATCACAGTGCAGCTTCTTGTCACTAGGCCACCAGAGTTCACTGAATTGGACCTTTTGAAAATAAAATCTTTATGCATATCCAAAACTTTCTCCAA